TTTTTATTTATTATATTTATTTATTGTATGTGTGTGTGGCCAGCTCAGCCCACCAGGGGGCGGGGCTGGCTGGCATGTGGTGCTGGGGGACTGAACCGCGATCCCTGTGCTTTGCCAAGCTTCTTTCAAGTAGGTGCTTTAGACCACTGAGCCATCTCTCCAGCCCCCAAAGAGAGACTTATTGAATAATCATTCAATAAAAATTTAGTACAGTTCACTACTTTAATTTGTTCCATCATTCTAGAAAATATGACTATGGTAGTGTTCTCACTGAATGCAGTTTGCAAACAAAAACAAATTTTGCCAAGTACTTCTATTTGTGACTCAAATTGCACGCAAACATTTATGAGCATTTATGAGCCAGAGAGATAGTTCAACAGGATAAATGCCTGCCTGGCAAGTGCAAGGCCCAAAGTTTGATCCCCTGTACCACAGAAAAAAAAGAAAACGAAAAGAAAGACAGACAAAAGATGAGACAAAGAGAGAGAAAGGGGGGGGGGGGAGGGAGGGGGGGAGAGAGAGAGAGAGAGAGAGAGAGAGAGAGAGAGAGAGAGAGAGAGCGCATTTATGAACTGAAGCAATGTATAATTTGTAGAATAACTGAAATGTTTTAGAAATTAGAGAATTAGATTACCAAACCCGGACACTCAAGACATGCAAGCCGTACCTGATCAATTCTAGCTGAGCCAGTTCCAGGTTAGCTTGAAAAATAGGCTTCTTTGTGAAGAGTTCCCCAAGGATGCACCTACAAAGAGTAACACTGAGGTGTCAAGGAAAAAAAATCCCTGGAGCCTGTTTCAAGTATGTGTCAATAAACTCTCACAGTGTTCCAGATGACATCTGATATACTATAGTAAACTAGAATACAACTACAGCTTCTGAGCTTCCTAAAGGAAAACATTTATTGTGGTTAAAACAGACATTACACACCAATGATGGCAAAGCTTCTAGAAGTTTCAATGAAACAACCAGCTGTGACATGTGTGCCATTAATTTGCCACCACTAGTAAAAAGGATTTAAATTTGCCTACAGATTAAACTTATCCATCTGTAAAGGACAGTCTATAAGCAGAAAAAGAGTCCAGCATCTTTGATTTCTACCATGCTACTATAAGAAAATAACAAAAGACAACTTTATAAGGAAGCTTAGTAGTTTCTATAAAGGAAATACAAATTTGTCATTAATTTGTTCTATAAAATATGAACTATACAACAGCCCTCTTGTACACCCCACTGCATGTGCGAAGAAAATAATTATCTATGTAGTTGAGCCTGGCCTTGAACTCACAGCGATCCTTCTACTTCAGGCTTCCTTTTTATTATTTTTTAATGTATTTGGTACAGGGTGTGTGCACAACCATGCCCAGTCTGTGGTTTAGTGTGCCCTGGGGCGGGGCCAGCATGGGGCTGGGATGGAACCCTTCCCTGTGCTTGCCTTAGCAGGCGCTTGATCCACTGAGCTATCTTGCCTGCATCTTGCCTTAGCTTTCCAAGTGGTTCATGTCCATAATCCCAGCTACTCAGGAGGCTGAAATCAGCCTGGGCAAAATGAGATAATCTCAAAGGAATTAAAATAAAAAAGACAACCAAGATCCATTCATGATCCTAGACTTGGGAGTATTGTTTCCAGGATATTATCTGAGTACTAATGAAACTAGAATATCAAATAGGTACTAATAGATTAAGTAAAAACAATACATAAATGTTAAAATTTCCTGATTTTTAATTACTGTGCTGTGGTTATGTAAAAGGGAATCTTGTATAGATTTCAAGTTCAAGCCCAATCCAGGCAACTTGGTAAGATTCGGTTTTAAATAATAATAATAATAATTAATAAAAAATTCAGTGAGGGTTCTGGAGGGGAGGGAAAGAAGATAAAAAAGAAATTAATGCCTAGCAAGTGCAAGGGCCTGAGTTCAATCCCTGGTTCCGTAAAAAATAAAATAAAAAAAGAAATTAAGTTCTCTTCATGTACCAACATCTCATCGGGAATGTAAACATGTACTACACACATACACTAATAAAATGCACCAAAATTTAAAGTTTTCAAAAATTCAGTGAATGTGGACAGACTTATTTGTGATGATCCTCTTGCCTCAGACTCCCAATTGCTGGATTACAAGTGTGTGCCAACATGCTCAGCTAGTTTTACAACTTTTTTTTTCCCTGTCTTTTTTTTTTTTTTTTTTAATTTTTTTTTTTTACTTTTGTGTGTGTGGCCAGCTCAGCCCACCAGGGGGCGGGGCTGGCTGGCATGTGGTGCTGGGGATTGAACCGCGGTCCCTTGTGCTTTGCTAAGCTTGTTCTAAGTAGGTGCTTTAGACCACTGAGCCATCTCACCAGCCCTCCCTGTCTTTTTTGAGACAGGGTCTCACGACGCACTTCAGTCTGGCCTTGAGATCACTTTGCAGCCCAGGCTGGTCTGGAACTCCCAAGGATTCTCCTACTTCAGCCTTACTAGTGCTGGGATTACAGGTGTGCGTCACCACACCCAGCTAACATTTTCACAAATTTGAAATAATCTCAAAATAAATTTAAATGAGGGCTGGTGAGATAGCTCAGCAGTCTAAATGCCTGCCTGGTAAGAGCAAGGTTCTAAGTTTGATCTCTGGTACTGCATGCCACACCAGCCCAAAAGTGGGTGTGGTGGTACATGCCTATAACCTCAGCACTGGGAAGGCTGAGACAGGAGGATCACTATGAGTCTAAGCTATGCAGCGAGACTCTGTATTAAAAAAAAAACACACACACACACAAAAAAAACCAAACAAAAAAGCTAGGTTTATAGATTTACTTTAATGTATTTTAACTTTGAGAAAGTAAAACAACTCTAGCTGTAAAGTAATTTACACCAATTTGTAGGCCTTTATTTACTGGCATTTACTAATGTATTTGCATTTATTTCATAAATTAGCATTTTCAAATTTAAAAAATGACGTCCAATATTCTCTCTAAATTTTTTTTTTTTTGGTGGAACCTGGGATTGAACTCAGGTCCTTGCGCTTGCCAGGCAAGTGCTTATTCTAATGAGCCATCTCCCTGACCCATTTTCTCTCAAACTTTGAGATAGAAACAGTAAAATTTAGTTTTATCTCCAATATCAACTACCAAATCAAGCTCCATATATAATCTTCCCTCCTTTATAATTTTTAAAGTATTTTTTAAATTTTATTTGTTTATTTATTTATTTATTTAGTGTGTGGCCAGCTCAGCCCACCAGGGGGCGGGGCTGGCTGGCATGTGGTGCTGGGGATTGAAC